AAACATACTAATTGTAAATTATATATTGTATTGTATGTATGATATGTAATATGGTATACAGAGAATAATATATTATAATATAACAATTGTATATGCAACTGTAAAATATAAAATAAAATTATAAAATTGTATAGACAATTGGTACATTATATTGTGAATGTATATTGTATATACAAATTATGGTATATATTGTGGTATATTGTATTGTATAATACATATAATGGCATACAGATAATAATATTGTAATATAGCAACTGTATACCATAATATACCAATAACGTACCAAATCATTCTCATATAATAAAACATTGTGCTACTATTACATTGAACATTCTATTAATACATTCTAATTTTGCTAATTTTTAAAATTAATCAATAATTCTTCTCAAATTAATTTTATAATAAAAATTGCATTAAAAGTGCAAAACTGAATCAGTAAATGTGCAGTTGCATTCTAATGCAGTCCCTCCACACACGACTCAATAAACGCATAATACATCGACAAAAATGAACGCAATTTTTAACCAAAAAGTGAAAACATCGATCCGAAATTGCAGTTGCATTCTGCCGCATCAGCGCACAAAAATGTATGAACTTAAATTTATAATAAACATCACTCGACACGGCACCGTTCAAATTGATCCGAAATCTATATTTAATATTTTTTTAATGAAACATTCTGTGCGTATGAAATCTCCCGACAGTTATTAAAGGTACTTGAAAAAACATCGAGTAAAACATTTTATCGAACGGGAGATCAAAAGTACGTTAATTTCGTGGAACGTTTTTTATTAAGGAGACTGCATTTATGGAGGACCCTGTACTCTCCCATTCCCACTGTCTCTTTCTCGTTCGTTCCACTCTTCAGCTTCTCTCTATCCTTCCTTTCGGTTTCTTCGTCCAACCAGCCTTCTCTCCTCTTTCTCGAGCAACCCCCGCATCTCACCTCCCGACCTACCCCCGGGGAATAACCCCCTTACCGTAGCTGCTATATGGAGCGGCAACGGCGAATAGAAGAACGACAGAAAGCGTAGCCGGCTATATACGAGCGTGAGCCGCGACTAAGGGTACGAATCCGAGAATTCCGCTTCTCTCCTCTTTTTTCTGTACCCGTCTACCCCCGTCTTTCGTGTATCGCGCATCCTTGAAAGCCAGCGGTGGAGATAGGTTGGGGGTTAGATTTGTAAAAATAATGCTCGTAGGTGACTTAAGGATTGAAGAGTGACTTTGAGAAATTTTTATATGGGTAGTCGATCTTGGGATGTTTTGGCAGATGGACGTCGATCGGTGGCTCTTTTATATCCGGACCATTGATCGAATTTATGAATCTTCTGTAAGTCCTCAAACGCTGGATATAACCCTCTTGTGAAACGTAATGATTGAAATTGAGTTTGTGCGACGATTAACCCTTTGCTCGAAAAGTGACTCTCAGTCAGCATAATTCAAAATAATAATTTTTTTACTGATTCTATAATATGACACTTAAAATTTAGGTCCAACTATAATTTGAATTATTAAGCATCGCTGAATATAAAATATTCACAATATTTTCATTTTTATTGTTTGTTTAAACATTACAGCTATGAATAGTTAGTTTTGACTGACGCATCTGACAAATAAATTGGTTTAAGTGGTTAAAATTCACTATTAAAATAGCGCATCAATTAAGATTTAAGATAAAAGACCTTCATACATGTTGGAGGAATAGTAGTCCAAATAAGAATGAAAATTAATTCAAAATTAAACGTGGACCCTGAATTAATATTTTGCACGAAAATAATTTCGGTGAGAATTATTAAAGAATTTTTCGGTGCATTTCACAAGAGTGCAGAAGGTGAAAACGATAAAAATACTTAATTATTATTTACGTGTTTTAAGATTCTATTCTGAGGAACTTGTCATCAATATTTAAACGTTCGAAGTTTAAAGGATTACAAACACGTGGAAATTCTTTTTGTATATAAAAACAGATACAATTATGCAATTATGCATTTTGAATTATGCAACTACATTGGCACTCAAATTTTTTTAAATATATTTCCTTTTCTAAACAGGGTGTCTCACAATTATAGGTCCCTAAAATAGGGGGTAGCTGACGTGATTCTAAATAAAATTTCCCTTTGCAAAAATGGGGTTTGAAGCTTCGTTTTTGAATTATTAAGGAATATAATTTTGTCGCCTCGCAATTTCCACGCGGCGTAATTTCCGCGCGCCACAATTCCACGCTCCATAATTTCTATGCGCCGTATTTCCGTGCGTTGTACTTCTACGCGTCGAAATTTTTAAGCGCCATAATTCCACACGCCATAATTCCACGCGCCATAATACCACACACCGTAATTTTCATGCGCCATAATTCCACGCGCCGTAATTTCCACGCCCTGTATTTCCACGCACTGTATTCCCACGCGCCGTAATTCCCACGCGCCATAATTCCACGCGCCGTATTTCCCCGCGTTATATTTCCATACGCCATAATTACCCACTCCGGAATTTCCACGCGCTTTATTTCCACTCCCTGTAATTTCCACGCGCCATAATTCCTTGCCTAAGCGCCATAATTCTACGCGCCATAATTCCACGCGCCATACTTCCACGCTCCGTAATTTCCACGCGCTGTATTTCCTCGCACTGTATTTCCACGCGCTGTAATTCCCACGCGCCATAATTCCACGCGCTGTATTTCCCCGCGCCGAAATTTCTACGCGCCATAATTCCACGCGCCGAAATTTCTACGCGTCGTTTTTTCACGCGCCATAACTCCACGCTCCGTAATTTCCAAGTAATTTATATTAAGGAATATACATTTCTTGTAGGCTTTTTTTGTCGCTCTCGCGTCTGCGCGTAATCTCGTGCTGATTGGCCCGTGTTTTTCCTTAATAACTCGAAAACGAAACTTCAACCCCCATTTTTTCAAAGGGAAATCTTATTTAGAATCCCATCAGCTACCATTTCATGGACCTATAATTGTGAGATACTCTGTATAAATCGATTCAGCACGAATTAATCAAATAGATATCTTAAAAAATGAATTCGAATTTTGCTCGAAAAAAGGTGATGAAGGGACGAAAGATGGTAGAAGAGAAACGTAAAGAAATAGGGGAGAAAGACTCTTTCACTTAACGTTAAACATCTTAACTGCCAATTAATTGAACGAAATTAATTTAATCTGCCGCAATATAAGCCATGAAGTATCCCGCGGCCTGCACGCTTTCTTGACGTCGAACCAGCATGCGGTTTCTTGCATGACATATTCCGATTCGAAATAAACTTTAGAAATTCATACAACAAACGTGACAGATGTTCATTTTTTCCTTCCTCGCGGATAGCGAGAATAAACAAAAAGATACAGCTTATTTCCGTGCATTCATTAGCATTAATATCGATTTCCTATGAAGAATATTTTCGAAATGAATGACAGTTCTGCCGTCCATCTGCTCGGATATTGTGCTTCTTTACTGTTTTTTTTTTGGTTGCAGATATCGGAGTAAAAATAAGTGCAGAAAATTGCGGTTGACAGACGTCAACTGGATGTTCGCAATTTTTATTCATCACTTCGAGATACTGAGGTGTTTAATCTAATTTCAGACTCTCATATTTTCGGTTTTTTCTTTTTATATCTGAGGTGGCTAATTTTTAAGATTACAATTTGACGAGTTTCCATATTTTTAAGCTTTTTGAATTTCTACCACCCATTGCTACAATACACACGTCGATACAACACATCCCCATAAAACGCAAGAGCCTTCACCTCCAAAAAACAAGAAAGTAAATTGACCAAAGAAAGAGAACGCACCAGTCGGAATAAACGTTTGCGTATCAGCGACAAGGGTGAAAGGAGAATTCGGTGAACCAGGTTAATATAAACCTAATGACGGATTTAAGGCGAGCAACTTGTGTGTATTTTCTCCTGCGGGAAAACGAAGGGAAATCCCAGGGCCCTTCGAAGATATAGTGTATATTAAAAGACGTTTCTGGGAGCCGTTACAGGGGATGCACAGATACGGCCGATCATACGAATGGCCACATTTTCAGGAGTGGGATTTTGGTGAGAAACCTGTTCACTTTCATTTTCCGTATGGGGATCATAGAGGTCAGTTCTATGACTTTACGATCTGCGATTGTCCGAAGAGAATGACGTCCAATAACGCTCATTCTACAGGTCACATTCGCTCTTCAGGTCAACACGATCTTAAACTTAGTTTACAATACCTTGCTGGTTCAATTACTAGCATTACATGTATAGTACACATATAAAATTAATTACCTACACAGGGTGTGTCACAATTAGTGTAGGTCTCTGAAATCGGGGGTACGTGATTCTGAATAGGATTTCCCTTTGCAAAAATGGGGTTTGAAGCTTCGTTTTTGAATTATTAAGGAAAAACATGGACCAATCAGAGCTCGAGATTACCCGCAGACGGATTGTGGAGTTATAGGGCGTGAAAATTACGGTGTGTGGTATTATGGCAAGTGGAATTATGACGCGTAAAAATTTAGACGCGTGGAAGTATGGCGTGTGGAATTATGGCGCTTAGAAATTTCGACGCGTAGAAGTAAAATGCATGGAAATACGGCGTATAGAAATTACGGAGCGTGGAATTATGGCGCGTGGAAATTACGCCGCGTGGAAATACAGCGCGTGGAAATTACGGAGTGCGGAGTTATGGCGCGTGAAAATTACGATGCGTAGAAATTTCGGCGCGTGGAATTATGGCACGTAGAAATTTCGACGCGTAGAAATACATCGCGTGGAAATAGGGCGCGTGGAAATTACAGAGCGTGGAATTATGGTGCGTGGAAATTACGCCGCGTAAAAATATAGCGCGTGGAAATTACGGAGCGAAAAATTATATTCCTTAATAATTCAAAAACGAAGCTTTCGACCCCACTTTTGCAAATGGAAATCTTATTTCAGAATCGCGTCAGCTACCATTTCAGGGACCTACAATTGTGAGACACCCTCTATTTGTTAGGTTAAGGAATGCAAAACGCGGTGGTACAATAATGCAATTTTATTTACAAAAATGTTTAAAGTTTTGACAATACTTGGCCGATTGATAAATACACGCGTTTGTACAGAACTTAAATACATACAAAATTTACATTGATTTTTAAACAATGATGAATGAAACGATGAAAGTGAAAGTAATTCGTTAAAATTGCTATAAAGATGATCGTACAAAATACACATGGTACAAAAACATTAATATACAATTATAAATATTAAAGCAATTCGGAAACTTTGATTTGACAGTCATCTAACAAGAAGCGCAAGAAATATTTCGATAGATTTTCTCCATGCACCCATATTGATTCTGAATTTTCTACCTTAATCTCCGTCGGTAAATTCTCTACATTTGATGACACGATACCTTTATTAACAGCGAATGGTATTGTGCATCGTCGTCATAGAATTTTTCTTACTAAATGTCGCTAATAGAACAACTGCAGGTACACCACTTTTAACTGATATAATACTACTAAACTAAGAGACTAATACCCTAATTCCCATTCATTATTGAATAATTGTTGAGCAACTCGGACCTGATGAGGTACGCCAACCTCTCTAACGCCTGCAAAAGAAGCAGAAAGACAAAAATTAGTAAATGTATCGAATGCTGGTAACAGTTTGTACGTCGGTTGGTAAAGAAGGAATCTGTTGCATCCGAAACAAGATTTTCTAATCTGAGTTAGTAATTTTTGTTATATTTTAAGATGAAAATCTACATTTTAAATGTTTAGGTTTTATCCTATCATCTGCACAATGATTTTTGTATCCTAACATCTACACAATGAGTGTAATCTACACAATGATTGTAATCTACACAAGAGGGTAGATTTAGAACCTTCAGCAGTACTTAATTACAACGGATGATTATGCGTTCTTTTGAAGTGCAACATATTATATCAAAACATACCAGATCCATTTCTTCATAAGAAGCTTTAGCGAAGCTTGCTCTGATAGCATTGCAGGGCTTGCTAGGATCCCTCATGAAGGCTGCACCAGGTGCCATTATGACACCTTCCATGACACCCCTTTGCATGATCATCTTCCAGGTGTCTTTGATGCCTCGTACTTTGATCCACAGGAAGAAACCTCCCATGGGAATTGAGAAGTCTGCCAGACCTATAGAAACATAGGACAACAAGGTTTAGATTATTGTATCTATAGTAATTTGCATATATTTTGCCAGTTAGTTTCGGTCCCTATATTTACATTTCTGTACTTGTAAATCCCTATATTCATCAATTTCTATATTTCCAAGTTTGTACGCCCACAATTCTTTATAGGTTGTTCAGTGTCTCTATGAGTAATGTGGAGGAATATGAGGAATAACATATGAAAAACATCTATGTATCTTCAAATTTTTACGTTACCAAATGCCTACATATCCCAAATCTTTAGGTCTCCATATTTCGACGTCCGCAAAATACGAACACCCCCAAATCTCTACGCCCCCAAATTACTAAATGGAATTTCTACGTGTCTAAATTCCTACATACCCAAATTCCTATATTCCCAAAATCTCTATGTCCCCAAATCTCTACATCTCCAAGTCGTTACGTCCCCAAATTCCTACATCCCCAAATTCCTGAGTCTCCAAATTCCTACATCCCGAAATCTCTACGTCTCCAAATTCCTACATTTCCAAATCCCTAAGTTTCCAAATTCCTATATCTCCAAAACCTCCACGTCCCCAAAATTCCTACGTCTCCAAGTCCCTACATCCCCAAATCCACACGTCCCCAAATCTCCACATCCCCAAAATCTCAACATCCCCAAATCTCCACATCCCCAAATTCCTATATCCCCAAAATCTCCACATCCCCAAATCCCTACCTCTCCAACTCACTCTACCCCCACACACCTACCCCACACTCCCATACCCGCTAATTTCCATCTCCATAACTTTGACCATCCATTAACAAAACACAACTACAAACCTCTCAAATGTTTTTCAGCCAACGCCGCGATAACGTCCCTCCGTTGTTTGTAAAAACACCTGATCCCCATGAAATGACTCATCAGTCCATCGTATCCCCATGTCTTTATCAGCTTGTACAGTATCACCTAGAAACAAGCAAGCGATCATGAAGAAAACGGTTTCCCCTTTCGCGTGCTTCTATCACTAACGATAATGTGCAATCACCATGTTTACGTTTACGATAAGAGCGGACACGCGCCACTGTTGGCAAAGCTTACACGATAATTGCAAGAAGCGTGGCTGTAGTATTTTTCTTCTTGTATTTCGTCATTCGGGTAAAATAATATTTACGGTTGGCCGACGCCCACTTTCGCGATTATTCGCGATTATTATATCGTTACGAAGCGTACGGTGACATGCATTTTATTTACGATCTTTAATTTATTAGGGCTGTTCTGATCTTCGACTGTCAAAAAATAGTTTAAAGGATGAATTCGACTGTTCAACGTTCGATTTTTCGATTATTCAACAGTGGGAGATTGTTAGGGTTTAGGGTTATTGGCTCGAGTTTCAGTTTATTCGTTGTTTAACCCCTTGCAGTATTTTAACGAGCTAGACTTGGGACGCACTTACGGTGACGCACTCGCGACAAATGTTTATTTAATATTTAATACATTTTGATTTAAAGTTCAAGTCTAATTATAATTTGTATAGTCAAAGATCGTTGAATACAAAATGGCCACATTTTAAATTTCTTTAATGATTTTAATTTCTATTGTAATTAATAATTATTTCTGACTGTTGCAGTCTATTGCCTGATAACAGTTTCTACAAATTCCTGTGGTTCTCCTGTATAGTTGTTTTCTCATCAAAAATATGATCACATAATTTGCATATCGAATCTGTTACAAACATTTCGATCATGTACACGTCTGATAATTCATTGACGTAATACCTTGGACATGTTTATAGAAAGCGCTACTGTAAGAAGCGTCTAAAAATCGACACGATAACCTAGGGAGGTAGACCTGAACTCGATTTCGCGTCAGCAAAATTATACCGTTCGATATCTTAGAACTGCTTCATGTCCCAAATGACCCAAATGATAAATGACCCAAAATTAACCATCGAATTTGGAACAAATTTTCCATCCCAGTATTTTGAGCTTATCGTGCCTCGATAAAACTGAAACATCGTCTGAATATCCCCAGAATGTACCAACGAAGGGTTGAAGAAAACCACCCTACCAACCTGCGATAACGTAGGCGCGTGCAAATGGCTGCTCTGCAGGTGTAGTTCTATGCTGGCTATCAACGGAGCTGCAGCCGTCACGAATCCTAATCTAATACCACTGCTGACCACTTTCGAGAAGGAGTCCAACCTGATCACTCGTCCTTCTGTGTCCAACGATAAGAACGACTTCGGTTCCACCTGTGCAAACACGATTCGATTTAGACTTGATTAGTAACCTGTGGAGTGCAGCTGTTTAAACTGCATTTATGTGGGATAAATGATTGGAACGTTATGCTACGGTATTATAATATGCGGCGATTAATGTTCGATCGATGGCATTAGAATTTGGATGAATTCGGGTATTAATGGTATTTCGGCGGATATTGGATTGTTGTGTTGATTATGGGGGTGAAGACGATGTGTATAGGACGATACAACGCGTTGAAATTTATGCAAGGTTCTGTGCAGTGAAATTTGATGCGGGGAGATATCCAATGTGGAGGTATCTGACGGGTCGATATCTAGAAGGTGGTGTTTAACGCAGAGGAAGCTAAGGTTTGATTATTCTACGCGTTGCAAACTTACACACGGAGACTCTATATATTGAAATTTTACGCATCGATATGTAACACGGGGAGATATCTGACATGTCGATAACTAACGAGTCTATATTTAACGCATCGAGATATCAAACTTGATGAAGTCTAAGGTTTCACTATTCTACGCGTTGCAATCGTACGCACGGTGACTCTACACATCGAAATCTAACGCATGGAGATGTCTAACGCGTCGAAATCTAACGCGTGAGAATTCTACGCATTGCAATTTAATGCGTGAGAATTCTACGCGTTGCAATCTAACGCATGGCGACTCTATGCACCGCAATCTGAAGCGTGGAGATATCTAATGCGTCGATATTTAACGCGTGAAAATTCTACGCGTTGCAATCTAACGCATGGCGATTCTATGCACCGAAATCTGACGCGTGGAGATATCTGACGCGTCGAAATCTAATGCTTGAGAATTCTACACGTTGCAATCTAATGCGTGAGAAATCTACTCGTTGCAATCTAACGCATGGCTACTCTGTGCACCGAAATCTGACGCGTGGAGATATTTAACGCGTCGATACCTAACGCGTGGCGATATCTAACGCGTCGAAATCTAACGCGCAAGAATTCTACGCGTTGCAATCTAATGCGTGAAAATTCTATGCGTTGCAATCTAACGCATGGTGATTCTACGCACTGAAATCTGACGCGGGGAGATATCTAACGCGTCAATACTAACGCGTGGAGATATCTAACGCATGGAGATATCTAACGCGTCGAAATCTAAGGCACGACAATTCTACTCATAGCAATTTGATGCGTTGCAATTCCACGCGTAGCAACTCCACACGTGACAATCCTGTGCATCGAAATCTATCGCTCCGATATCTAACGCGCCAATATCTAACGCGCCAATATCTAACGGGTCGATATTTAATGCGCAGTTATCTATCGCACAGATTCTAAAGCGTATCAATATAACTTCTCAGTATCAAAAGATGTCAAAAGACGTAAAATTTTTGGAAATCTGAACATTTCACTCACATCGTCAAAATGCATGAAATGGTAAGGATCATCATCAATAATCAGGAAGTTGTATTCGCACGCTATCCTGTAGATTTCCTTCCGCCTCTCCAATGGAATAACGACTCCCGTAGGATTTGTCCCGGTGGCGTTTATGTACATAATTTTTGGCATTTTCTTGCCAGATAACTCCCTGTTCTTCAACGTCTCTCTAAGGATCTCAGGTACAACGCCATACTCGTCCTGCGGAATCGGTATCAGCTCCGCCTTATGAGGCGTCACCTGTAATTAAATAAATATTTATTGAACATATGTTTCATCTTGAACCCGATAACCCGATGCGTTTATGTTGTGTCAACTATCTGTTATCTGTTGTTAATATGTAACGGCGATAAGAGGAGTTGTTTGTGTAATCTTTGCACAGTGTAACGCGAAATGAGCAATTGTTTTACGTATGGTTTTATCAAATAACGTTGATAACGAGGTATTGAAATAATTGTTTAAAGAACAAACTATCCCTTTCCGATTAGAGGAAATTGTATTATAAATTAGATTTATTATATGTATCGATAAGTCGATGAAAAATTACTAGGCTAATCAAGCGCACGCGAGAGAGATGAACTTTGCAGATATTTGCTGCGGCAAGGTTATGTTTTTCAAGCTATCTAAACGGTTTGTTAAACAGCGCGTGGCTGTAATGTTGACCGATTTCTTATCTTTCGATGACCTGTAACTTTGCAGATCGTTTAAAACACGTCAGTGACCCGGAAGAGTTTTACCTATACCTATTCTAGTTTACAAATTATATTTTACTATTAAAATATTATATACGAAATTTCAGAATAGATTGAACGATGCTCATAACATATGCAACGACTTAATAAATATTTCATAGGTAAATTAACATTAATTACTAGTGTTGACGATAACTAATGACCAAGATAAAAATTAAAATTTAATTTTATGCTTTCTTCAAATTGTACGTTTAAAGATTACATAAATGTGTAATGATAACGTTTGGTTATCGTTTAAGTAGCCTTTGATTTTTAAGGAAATCTGAATGTAAAGCCTTTAAAAAATTTGGAAATCCATAAGGATTTAAAAATTTTAACTTTCTAAAAATTAATATGTGTAGCATTCGTCAAGATATTGCTTACGATCGAAATATTTGATTTAAAAGGAATAAAAAAAAGAGTAAACAGAAAATGGTGAATCACTAACCACAACTTCCACGCCCGGATAAAAAGGATCATGCACCAGAAGTGGATCTCCAGGACCAATTATGGCTTCCAAAGTTTTGCTTAATCCGTCCTGAGATCCAGATACCACCACAATATCGCGGCTCTCCCATAAGGGTGGTGCGTGCGCCCTTCTCTGAAATTCCCTCAGGGTCTGAAATCAATTTAATATCCAACGTTGTTAAATATATTGGAAGCAATCATATTATAAGATTGAAAGACTGCTTTAACAACGAACATTCATGACTCAAAAGTGATTCTCTTAAATGTTACTCGACGTTTAAATTATGCATCTTTCTGATTATGAATAAAGTTGCTATGATATTATGAAATTGCTTACCTGAAGAAGCGGTGGATATCCTTGGGTAGGAATGTACTGCAACGCAGCACCCAATTCTCGATCGTCGAGGGTGAAAGACGATCCATCCTTAAGTTTGATGGAAATTTCTGTGAATGGAAACGTCTCCTCGTTTGGCATTCCCTCGGCGAGAGATACCAGGGTTTTGGGCGCTGAGTACGCTATTTTCGCTGTAATACATCGTTAAAAATTACTTAGAAGCTGTTATCAAATTTCTGTTTTTTCATTAAATTTTAGTTTTTCTTGTGATTGCAATCTCAGTATTAAGTATAGTAGACTCTACTGCTACGTAGGAAGGTTTGATGATGCAATACGCGAAGATACAGTGCGTAGAGAATATAGAAAATCGTTTGGCAAAAATAACGCGTAGGAGATACGGAGCGTTGAGATATGGAGCGTAGAGAAACGGAGCGTGGAGATACGGAGCATGGAGATACGGAGTGTGAAGGTACGGAGTGTGAAGGTACGGAGCGTGGAAATACGAAGCGTGGAGATCCGGAGCATGAAGGTACGGAGCGTGGAGACACAGAGCGTGGAGATACGAAGCGTGGAGATCCGGAGCATGAAGGTACGGAGCGTGGAGATACGCAGCGTGGAAATACAGAAAGTTAAAGGAGAACGTGTAGAAACATAACGCGTGGAAATACAACGCGTAGAAAATTCAACTCATCAAAAATTCTACACATAGAAAATACAATGCTTCGAAAATTCTACACATATAAAATACAATGCATAGAAAATTCAAAGCTTGAGAAATACAACGCGTCGAAAATTCAAAGCTTGAGAAATACAACGTGTCGAAAATTCAAAGCTTGAGAAATACAACGCATAGAAAATATAATTCGTCCAAAATTCAACGCATTAAAAATTCCACGCGTAGAAAATACAATACTTCGAAAATTCTACACGTACAAAGTACAATGCATAGAAAATTCTGCACGTAGAAAATATGACCCCCGGAAATTACAAAGCGTGGAAATATAACGCGTGACGATACAAAGCTTGACGACAGTGAACACTAGAATAAAATCATTTCAAATTCACAACTTTCTTCTGTCACTGTTCCCCATAAAAGTTCCCCATATAATACCAAAAATCATCAATAAAATCTTACTTAATTCCCTGGTAGTCGCCGATCGTCGTCGCTTGGACACCTCATTCGTAAACAACGAATAATCCATCTTCAATTCCTCCTTATTCTTATGCATCTTGAAAAGGGATTCACTACTTACAATTTACCTAGCACTCTTCCCTTTACTAACTGAAATTACTAACTGAAATTCGTCTTGAATTTACTAAACACAGTGACAAAGAAATAGTCGAACGAAAGGTGCGCCGGTTAACAACACATTCTTTTTCATGAAATACCAACGCTACCACTATCAACACTGACAGCGCTTCTCGTTTACCCGGCTTTTATATTTAGCGATAGCTTTGGTTGCGTCAGATAACGTTAACACGTTCTGAAAGGAGCACGCGTGTTCAGATGTGTTTACTAATACTCCCATCGATCATTCATAATACGTTGTCATCAATAAAAAAAGGTTTTCGAGTGAAAACGATTCCTCGAAACAAAATGGACGACCTACATAAAATAAGGATGGTTAAAATAGAACACTATCGAGCAATTGTAATAATATTATTACTCTTTATAATCGTGTGACGTAGTAAACAAACTTCGTACAATAACTTCACGAATGACGTACGGTGAATATTTTGGTAAATAATTAAGCAATTTATTTTCTTCACGCAACTACGCAGGAAAACGAGACCAGAGGAGAATTAAGCGATTTCTTGGTATTCGGGGAAAATTTTAGATGTAAGAAAAATTGAATCGTGGGATTTTTGTCGGTGAATCAGAATCACACGCGACGAGAACATCTGTCGAAAGATTCGCAATATCTGCCAGTCATGATGTAATTCTGTTCAGCGTTTACATCGGCATGAATGAATGACGAAAATGACAGTGACACTGACCCGGTTTCCCCGACACACGTCGCTGAATTTTTCCGAAAAGCGTCAGACACTTTCCTCATGATCTCACGAAACCTCTCCATTGCATGTCTAAACATTAAATTAAAATAGAAAAAGTTTAAACTAGAAAAAGGTCGACTAAAATTACATCATCCTCTTATGGACCAAAGTAATTTAATGATATCTTCATGAAATAATAATTTAATGACAGAGAATGTTATGGAAATTTGGTCGAAAATTCGTGTAACATTTTTCTGCAAGATGGCCGCCCAGGAGATTAATCGCTTGTTACGAAATATTGTTTCGTCTTCAAGCTTATCTGTTTCTTGAACGAAAAATGCATCTTGTTCGATTGTTACAATGTTATCGAAGCGGCAGAGAGTCTTTGTTGCCACTTTGTCCTCGCCTTTCAACGATGAGGGAGGGTTTGAAAAATATTGCTATATTCGCGAGAAGTCACGGAAACGTCGATAAACAAACGATTGACGTCGAACGATACGAATCGACGAGGACGTGGAGATTCCCCTTCAGCTACCAATCGATTATTGATCGAGCAACAAGTCGAGCAAGAAGGACGATTAGCGATAGATCGTCGACGAACCGTGACATTCGATTCTCGTGCCGGGGCTGAGAAATAAATGATAATTAATCTGGCTTGATAAATTTTTTCTCTTTTATTGGCTGCTACGTTTGACGTATGTACATCGATGCTCGAAAGTTTCCAGTTACCGAGCTTTTTTCAACACTTTCATGATGCAACAATTTACACCTCTTCTGGCTTGCTGGAATATTTTGACAAATACAATTTTTAGTACATTAATAGACAATTTTTTAGTGGAACTTTTATTAGGTCATTTTAGTATTTTATTCAGTAATTTTTTTTATATATTGTATATTTTTTTTATATTGTTGTTACATTTTATACTGGCATCTTGTGACTTCAAGATTATTCATGAATTTTTAAGTAAAATTATTTTTATATTTCGATATTTATTTTGCTGCTTAAACACATATGTTCTTGATGATTTCAAAAATTTTTTGCAAACGTCAGGAAACATTTAAGAACGTTTTTACAAGAAAATATTTAAGATCGTTTTTCACATCGTTGAACAAAACAATATTAGCTGATTTTATATGACAAATAAAAATTCTATCAGATCTTCTATAGTCTCAAAAATAAAATAAATTTGAAAATGAATAACTTCTACAGAAATACAGTAACAGGTTCCAAATGTAATTTTATTTACAATAAAAAGAAAAGTGATCAACGTAAAATCGAACGAGTTAAAATAATTATAGTGTTTCGCAGTTATCAGAAACTTTTAGCAGACAGTGTATGTATCTTTCGCGGAGACGAGCAACTCCCACCAAAGAAACTTGGGAGCACGCCACTTTCTTTATTTTTGCCTCGCACTAATCTAATACATGAAATTTCGTAAGCAATGTTCTGATGCAAGACACGACGAGGATTTACTTGGCTTCGTTCCTTCCTCGTGATCATCTTCCTCGGCAGACGAGGCGGTTGACCTAACTTAATTAGACTGCGATTGTTTATGTACGACTCGCTTAACATGTACATAAACATGTGTCAGACAGATGAAATTAGAAAAGAATAAAATAGTGGCCCGCTTTTTTGTGTCACGCGTTAATGAACGAGTCGTATTTACTTTTAAACTGCGAATCGATAAAAATTTGATGTAGAAATCTTTTTACGTAAGTTTGTTAACGGGCTTTTAGTGTTGAAGGCTTTTAAGTGGATGAAAATCGGAAGAAATTTTATTGTATATAAAAATTATGTATTGATGGAATTTGTAGATTTTGTGAGAAAGATTTTCATCTTTTAATGAAAATTTTATTCAGAGATTAATCGCTTAAAGAATTTACTTGAAGGAGTAGTGAAGGATTTGAGAAATTTCAGAATGCGAAAGATTTCTTGCAGATTTAGTTAATAAGAAATATTTTTTAACAGCAGTGAATTCTTTTTGACTATAAAAATGAAGTAATTGCAATTGAAATTGCAATTGAAGAATAATTGTTTCCCCGTTAATCGCTAAAGGTTGAAAGGTTACACATTCTATTATATAGAATTAAACGTATAACGTGACCAACGTATCGCTCCGATAATAAAACCATTTGATTATGCAAAATAACACCGTATCTATCACCCGTAATCCGCAATTACGTAATTAGACAAAATATGCGAATGACAGTTTATATATAAATCGATTGTATAACAACGAGGAAACGGTACTCGTAACGTCCGTCATTTTAATCGTTCGATTAGAACTCCATAAGTTCTGTACTTTCCATATCGCAACGATGATGTACGAATATTTCGAGTTCAATGACGCTAAATAACTGAATCGAAGGAATCCCAATAAGAAGAGTATCATGATTACTGTAAATCAGCCCGATAGTGTCACTTTGCTATCCCGTTTTCAGTTTTCGTTTTGCTGAGACGTCACGCGATAACGGCGGGACAAGAGACGTTCGAAAACAATACGTGATTATGCGTCTAGGGAATATCTAGGATTGTGGAAGGGCTTGAGGGATATTAAACTGCTTAGAACTTGGAGATTTAGGTTAGGTTAGATGGGGACTTACAAAAAGTTATGGAGATCTAAAGATTCTGAAGAATCTAAAAATTCTTACTCTTGATAAATCTCATTGGAGAAATGACTCAAATTACTCTTTGGAGTACCTAACAAAATTATAGGAAAATCTAAATATCAAGTTAGGGAAATTATACAAGAATTTTGAGGACCTAGCGAGGACTCTTACTCCTAAAAAATCAAAAACTCCAGAAATCAGAGATTTCCTCAGAAAAGTAAGTATAATTCAAGAAAACCTTAGAGAGTGAATTGGAGAGATCCTATGAAGTTCAATGTACTTGTAACCTATGACCCACCAAAAAAAATGCAATCTTTTTTGAATAATCATAATCAACAATTTTTGGGAATACGAGGTCAAAGATTGAATTATCTCCAAGGAGCAATTAGCGAAAGTGAGCGACTAATTTACACTTGTAAGGTTATCAGCTGACAAGCCTGCCGCGACAAGGTGACACCTTAACGGTGACGCGAATTTCTCAGGATCAATCCGGGATGCGATTACGTAAAAACTTGCATAAGCAATTCTTATCAATTATCATCGACAATACACATTAGCCAGGGATATTTTTCCATGTACATGATGCAACAGTAGATCTTATTTAAAGCATTATCGATAACAGACCTCGACCGCGTCTCAAAAATTGTACGATTAAAAGAGATCTATTCGTGATAGACGTGTTATGCTTGACTTCAGGTTTTTTATTTGATAATCGGTTTGACGAAATCCGCTGATGCTGCGCTCTTGCTGGTTGATAACGAAGTAGCGATAGACAAGATGTCGGTAGATGGAACGTATCTTGTGAGAAATAAATTATTTTAATATCTAGTTTGGCGAAACGGTACGGCGTTCGGTTGAAACGGTAGTAAGGCCATCTTATAAAATGGTGAAGAAACTTGTAACTGTATGTTTTACCTTTATTCTAAATTACTTGTACAGTACTTATGGGATATGTAACGTGTGTGATGTATGTGAAGAGAAAGGCAGAAAAGAATTAATTTTGATATGGGAAAGATAGTTGACAGTCTGACAATATGTGTCGCTGATATTCTGAACGCATCTTTGACGTAGAAATATATTTTATAATTTTATTTTTCAGGTTCGAGTCACCATAGTAGCGACATCTTGTTCTTGTATGGTGAACCGACTGTAAGAAATTACTTTCTAACGTTTCTAAATTTTACCATTCTCAATTTTCAAGTCCAGAAACTCTTAAATCTCGCAATTCTTAAATTACATTTTTCCAAGTTCTACAACCCCAGATTTATAAGTTCTCCACCCTCTAAATCCCTCAATTCTTGCATTTCCAAATATTCAACTGTCCAGATCTTTAAATTCCCAAGTTCATAAATTATCAAAGTCAACATTGATACTACAAAATTTGACTACATAGACATCTAGTCTAGTTGTCCAAACTAATTCACCCTCTTACCACAATGTCTCATTCATACCACATCCCTATTTTTATTTATCACATTGCAATTCCAGAAGAAAGTTTCTACCATAAAATGCAGAAATTTCCCAGAGATCATCACTATCCCGTAAAACATATTACCAGCAAAACGATCAAAGCCCATAGAAACCTCCAGTGTTAATTTCATTAAAATCCCCCGAAAGTGTCCAACAGAAAAATCGTACCAATCAGATGCAGTAGAAGTCGTATTGGGAAGACGGAGATGGAGAAACGTACTTAACGAACGTAGAAGTTCATTAAAAGCGAAACGACATTAGCCGACCTAAAATCAACTCTCCGACGATTCCGCTTACGCCTGCTTCCAACCTGAGTGCCGTGAGCTCCACAGGTGAGGCAGAGAA